GGATGTTTTGCGCCAATTACCCAATTTATTATTATAACAAAAATTAATGATAATTGTGAAGCCGTTAGTCAAGAAGTATCGGGGAGTTGAGTAGAAGTCAAAATAGTACTAAGAACCTATTTCCTCAATTGGATGTGGATTTTTAGTTTTTTTAAGAATAAATTTCATGAAAAGTAATTCTTTTGAAGAATATGTGGTTAAAAAGTATAAAAAGAAATTATAAATGAACTTGCAAAATTATTTCATTGAAAGAATGTGGAGATTAGAAATAAATTTGAGAAAAATACATTTTAAAGAATTTCTACCAAATATTAGCTAAATGAAAGTGGGTTGTTTTTTCTCCTTTCTCGCAATTCGCGATTTTCATACCATCAATCTTGACGTTGATTGGAGGAAGGTTGGCCAAGGCTCGGAGTTTCCGAATAAGTACATATTTCATCCAAATCATTACGGAGCGATGCTAGCATTTTAAAAAGCATAATACTTGACAATATGTGGAGGTCAAGTTTCAGACTAGGCTAACCTACGCATAAAAAAACATTTTCTTACTTTAATATTATTTTAAATTTTTAATCAATCTAAAAATTATTTAATAATTAAAATAATACATACCAAATATCTAAAATAAATTTACAGGAGTTTTATACATTTTTTTTAAAGTTTATAGCAAAAAAGATAAGTTTAGAAATAATAACATAATATAAATTATATAGGAGCTTAAATTTTATTTAACTCTTTATCGGACTTCAAGAAAAAAAATAATGAAGAAATCAGGCATTTAAGTTTTGAGAATTGTAATAAATAATAATAATAATAATAATAATAATAATAATAATGCACCCCAAGAGTGTCTTAAGCAGTCAACTACAGACCAAAACGCCACATCCTCTCCTCGACGCTCCATTTACAAAACAGAGAAATAAAATAATCTGGATAGGAATGAAAATTTCTTTTAAGCCCCTATTTGATGCCCATTAAAAAGAGTTTTTTGGGAAAATGAATTTTGAAATAGTGATTTTTTAGAAAATGTGCGGCTTAAAAAGTAGGAAAAAGTTTTTGGTTTACGTGCAAAAATATTTTAGCCCTTCTTTGACAAACATTCTTTCTCGTTTTTTTTTTTTCCGTACTTATTTTCGATCACACATTCTCATAATAAAATATTTTTCATGTAAACCCAAAACATTTCCTCACTTTCTAACCACGCTTTCCCTAAAATTTATTATTAAAATCTCACTCTTTTCAAAAAGAAAAAAAATCCGTCAAACAAAGGCTTATTTTGGGAACGCGTGGTTGAAAATGAGTTTTAGAAAAAAAAGGATTTTTTGAGAATGATAGACAAATGGGAGCTAACAATGGATTGAATTTTGATCTGAATTCGATAAAATTAATAAGAGATGGATTTATGGTCTCGATTCGAAACCTGATCAAAATCCGAATCTGATAACCCATTAATTAAATGGAGCAAATATAAATATATATCAATCTGATCCGATAACAACCTGATCTGATTTTTTATAATAATACAATATATTACTGTATAATTTATTACACATAATTTTTTTTTCATTTTGAAACTTTTATTATACTTTATGACTTTTAATAAAGAATGAATTTTGTATTGATATTGAGAATATCATATTTCTAAAATACTTCAGATCAAATTATCAGATTTGATATCTAATGACATAGTAAACCGAATATGAATTTAACAATCTAATATCTGTTGGATTATCGGATCGGGTCGGATTCATGAATTATCCTTATCAGATCGGATATGGGCAAATTCGGTCTATATCCAATTTATTTACAGCCCTAGCTAAATATAATGATTTCGACAAGTTTGTCCGAGTGGAGAGACAAGGAAAAAGTTTTTGTGGAGATGCAGTCTATTTCCTTGGAGAGAAGATCTCTCATTATTTTTCAACTTTTCTTGAGAGGAAAAACGAAGTTGACAAAAAGTAACATTCAAATAAGTCATCGTGCTAAGCATGAGATTTTTTGACAGAAAAATTAAGTTTCTATCTAGTAGGGACCAATTGTACTGATAATAAAAGTTCGAGCCAACTGAAGGCTAGAAAAAATTCATCAGAGACCCATATGCTACATTTGGGGAAGTTCGAATATCAAGACTACAAATTTTCCTTGATTCAAATCCACCTAGCCATAAGCCACAGCCAGGACCAGAGCCAAGGCTGAATCAAATGAATTGTTACAACATCATTTCTATACTCAAAACTTCTATCAACAGCTTGGACCAGAGGATGGCCAAGAAATTTCAAAATGTATGCACATATTCAATCTAATTCCACACAAAAATCTTTTGTCACAGTATTTTTTCACTTTCAGCATATACCAAAACTGTACCTATAACTCTGCAGGCCAAAATTGTAATTGTTCTATCGTGTATTTGACACAAACTGAAGAAAATGTAAAACACGGGAAACTTCATTCAACAATTCCAAACTGCACCAACTCTAGCACTAGGTCACCAAACAAATGAGTCTCCAATTCTTGACAGATGATATCAATATCTTCGTACAAGTCCAACCATTTCATTTCATTTTCCAGGGTCCTCTCATACAAGCCTTTGCTTTCTTCCTTTTCCTGGCTAATTAGAAACATCCATAACTCTTCCTCAACATCGTCCCTCCTCAATTTGGAACTAAACCTTCTTCTAAAGGGTGTTGACATGTGAAAATGTATGTATGGATTAAAGATTTTCCTCAACCCAGAATTTATACGGTTGAACAGAAGTTGTCTATGAGACTTCTGCCAAGATGTCTGCTTGCCATATTTTTTCTCTAATGCCTCAAATACCAAGGGGCTCACTGGGCATTCTAGAGAATGCCATGTTTCAAAATCCATGTCTAAATTCAAACCTTGAAATCGAGCCTCGTCTAAAACGTCAACTAGATAAGAAAACTCTCTACTTTCATCATCTCCAAATAACCTCAGTAGCTTCCCACCATTTTCAGAGGGATCATGGGATCTTTTCTCAGTATCCGAATCACTAATCACACCAATTCCAGATTCCTCTGAGTAAGTTTCCTCTGATTCGGATTTTAAAGGTTGAAGTTGCAATTGTTGACCTAGTAGTTATACATGGAAATAAGTTATTGCAGGCTAAAGCAATTAAATATTAACAAAAGTTTCAGTTTGCTTACTGTGGAAATCAGTAGTCACACTCCCAAAGTATTCAGAGGTCAAGGAATTCTCTTCTTCAAATGGTTCCAAAATTGAATGAGGACTACACTGATTGGTCCCTTTCAAATTGCTGTACAACTCTGGAAGACCTATTCTTAAACAATTTGAAGAAGCCGCTGCTTCTTTGGAAATTTCATTTGATGTTGATGATACCTGCATTGCATATAAAGAATGAGCTGTGGAAAGCAAGGGAAAGGTATAAAAACAAAAGAGAGGAAACAAAGCATCAGTTATAAAATTTAATGCTTTAACAGTGAATGTTTACAGAAAGGTAAAAAAGAAAATTGGGGTTGATATAGAAAAACAAATATATGATAAGAAATCTGGATAAAATCGTTATTTAGAATATTAATGGGAAATTAAACAACAGATTAAGCCCCTGTTTGGCCCCCATTAAATTTCATTACATTACATTAAATTTTTCTCTCTCTTCATTACAACCACACATTCATCAAATAAAAAAATATTACACAAATCTAAAACTTTTCACTACTTTTTCACCACACATTCTCTCATCAATCACTATTCCAAAAATTTTCAACCATAAAAAATGCACAATAATGGGGGCCAAACAAGGGCTAAAGTATGTTATTAGATATCTCCAATTGAAAGAAATTTCATGGGAAAAAATGTCCATTCACCTCCAACAGCACCATAATGTGCATCCAATCAACTCCCTCATAAATTGTAATCCTTGATCCCTTGGGGTGGCAATCATCATTTTTGGTGACTCAGATAGCGTGTTTATAAGGATTGTTATAAGATGCAGCTAAATTCATTTTCCTTTCACTTATTCTCTGGCAGTATGTTCTCTCAGTACTGTTGCCTTCATCTCACACATTTGAGATGAGATTCATACCATGTTGAAAGGCAGCCATAACTTTTGTTGATACTAAAAATGGTAGGATACAAACCATTATTTATCACGACCAAAGACAACACAGCAAAACATATGTTTATGCTCACACGTGAAAATGACACCATTAGACAGATAAAGACTGGAGGGGGTAAGCTTTTAGTAAATCAACTTACTGTGAAAGAACATTCCAGGTGATTCAAGATATGGAGGAAAGAGAGAACAAACCTGTCCATTCAATGCTTCCCAATCATGAGAAGAAGAATGTGAGCAAAACTGACCAGTGAATGTTTCCATGACAGGAGAAGAAGAATGTCTATCTTTGATGGAAAATATGCCAGGATTTGGTTCAGATTTCTGTAGCTTATGAACACTAGAAATCTCTATGTTCTCTGGCTCTGCATTGACCAATATATCAACTGTACTTTGAGAGGCAAGATTACTGATGGTTGAGTTTGAAACTCTGGAATCCGGCTCATTATCTCTAGACCCATCATTCATCTTTGGTCTATTTGCCCATTCATCCTGATTTATCAATGTAAATTTCTCATGGGCTGCAGGGTTATTATTTTCTGAATCTAACCAGGAAGCACTGCACCTAGACGACTGAAAACTAGCAGGACTTCGTAATATGGTGCATTTATTCTTTAAAGCATCTGGACAAGACGTGAATTTCTCTCCACCACTTGAGCCTCTATGATCCAAAACATCTTTAAAGGAAATCTTTTGCTTCCTCAACTTGTTATCTTTCAATGAAGCTGCTTCTTCTTGCCTCGAATGCCAGCACTTTAAAAAGGTTTCACATAAGACTTCAACTTTTGAAGTTGGCGAGCATATGATATCCTGATTCTTCCAACCGTCTTTACTGCTAATACCTGAAGCAGAGCCTGAGTTCTTACCCTGTAGACTATCAAGTTCTAGGTTCGTATTTCCGAGTGTCAATTCCCAATCAGCCATAGCAAGCATTTCACCGAGATTTTGTGCCCTCCCAGCAGACTCAACTGCTTGCACCTTTTTGGTCCTCTTCCACCATTCAAACATTTGCTTATAGACTTCCCTGGTCAAAAGTGATCCATTCGAAGAAGGATACAGAGCATGTTTTTGATCTTCACAGTTAAACAAACCAGGACAAGAAGCCACCAAAGACTCCCCCTCATCCATGAGGTAGTTCTCACCTGAAAATTGTGGTCTTGATGCCTCCCCACAACTGCTTCCTTGTAGGGAATTTCTGCTCTTAGTTTCCTTACAATCACTAGAACTATGTGTAGAAGAGTCCGTGTCATTTACTGCTTGATCCATATACGTAAACTCTTTGAGGAGTTCTCCATTTTCTGTTTCTAAGGACTCATCACGATCTCTATCTCCTGATCTAGGAAGTAGATCGGACATTATATGTATAGATTTTCTTTTCTCTATCTTGGAATTTGGATTCAACATAACAATACTTGTTGAGAAAAGATGAGATCGATCAACCCTCTCCAGCGGAGATTTTAATTTGTTTATGGGATCAAAAACAGGCTCTTCGAAGTGACCTGTAAGAGAATCTTTCTCAAGTTTCTGGTGAGATCTCAAAACATTTCCTCGAGCATGCTGCTTGCATTTCTTGTTGAATATTCCTTCGTAATTGTAGCTGTGTCCAGGGATTGATTTTAAAATTGTGGCACTAGCATTTTTCTTCCTCCCCATACCCATTTGTATCTTGCTTGCACTGTAACTTGCCTCTTTATCAAGAACTGGCAATATATTATGTTCATCCTTCTTTGATATATGCGCAACAAAAACATCCTTAACAAGATGGAATGAGCTTCCCTCTCGTAATCCTATGGAAGCACTTCTGCGAAGATAATTCTCCGAGAGCACTCTTTGTCTTTTATGGATGGTCTGCTGAGGTGGCACCTCATCAAAACCCATCAGTCTTGCAATTACACTGTCTTCGTGCTGTTTAGCTTCCATCAATTCTGAAAATCCTTCAGCTAGATTAATCTACTGCTAAAAACTTAGGCACTGCACAAACAAAGCAAGAATGCATCAATGCTAATAAAGGAATAATACAGCATTATTACATGTTTCAATTGCAAGATGCCCAAAATGACTGGTTATGTTGACACTAAATTGTGCCTGAAAATCTTGACAAAACAAGTCAAAGAAAATTTATCCCAAGAGACAAAGGGTACAAAGCCTTATCTGAAACATATGAAACTGCAATTTACCTAATGTTAGTACATCAATATCCGAAGCAATGACTTCCAGTCCCCCACTTTCTGGCTCTTGAATATGTAATAGTTTGAATAACAGTCAATACAACAAAGATTTCGCCACTTAGAAAGAAGCATCAAATTTGACAGAAAGCATCAAACTGAAGAAAAAAACATCAAATCTGAAGTTTCTAATCAAATTAGGGGGCAATTTAGCAAACTTGCAAGCAAATATAAATTTCAGAATCTTCCCTGTCAATTAATAGACTTCGAAATTGGAAGTTGAGAAAATGATCCCTCCATTCATCAATTGAAATTACAGAAAACTAGGAAGAAAATAACATCCCCAAAAGCAGAAAAAGTCTCAAGAATCAATGTCAAAATTTAAAACCAAATCAGCCTCAAGCCAAAAAAACAAGTTTTGGTACAAATCATGATTGCAGCAGACATAATAATCCTAATCGATAATAGGAATAGTATTAACAGTGACAAGTCCAATTCAAAGCCATCATTCAAGACAATAAATCATAATTATTAACAATAAAATTCAAATTGCAACTAAATAAATAAATAAACACAATCATTCCATCACCACCATTATACACACGCATAATTAAAATAAAAATTCAACATTTATATAGTGAGAATCATAAAAACAAAAACCAAAAGTAATTATAAGAGAAAAAATAGTCACCTTTTCTGAAGGACTTCTTCTTCTTGTTCATCCAAATGTTAGAATTCCATCAAACGATTCCGAATAACTTCGATACTAAACTGGGATTCAAACAACGATGATTGCGCCTCCAGTACAACTGGAAGAATTTCGAATGAATGTAAACATAATTCAATGCGCAGTCAAAATGTGGATTACACTGTTACATATATTATATATACGTATATCGTGCCTTTTTGTATTCGGCGTAATATGGGGGATTTAGTTATGCGTGATAAATAAAAAATAAAAAAATAGTCAACGCGCCTACCAACAGCATTGTTGTCAACGCGACTTGGACTGTGTAATGTGGGAAATTTCTTTCTATTGAGCCGCCAATCGAAATAGACCTCATTGAGCAAAAAAAAGAAAGAAAGAGACCTCAGATGACATGAACAGTTTTTATTTTGGGTAATTAGCACTTGATGTTTCAACCTTTACAAAATGTCATTCCAATTTTTGGCATTTTCACCTACATTTTTTATTGCACAAAACGTTCTTTCCGTCCATTCTCATTCAATTTCTCTATTAAATGAACGTACGTAGTCAACTTCTTTTCTAAAGAGAAGGGTATTCTCGTCTTCAACAATTTTCTCATTTCTTCCATTTTCTCCCTAATAGTCTTATGTTCGTGAAATTTTGCAAGTGTACGGATCGTGTCAAGTAATAAAGTGTATGTTGGGAATATATAGCACAATTGCAGACACAATGCACAGCAATAATATAGTTCTAAAGCTCATAAACCAATGACAGAAGTCAATACCCAATCTGAACATATACATAACAGAAACCAGAGTTCATCAGGTTCATAAAACCGGAGTTGACGAGTTTTTTGGTTTTCTACTGTCGAGCCCTACAATCCTATACTCCAGAATTTAGACAATTGAGTTGGGCTGATAATGGACTTAAACTTGGGTCAAAGAGGAATATTGGACCAAGAGAAATTTCAAATAGATGTTGGGTGTAAAATTCGACCCGATAAGGACATATTGGATTTTTAAGATTAAAAATCGTTTTGAATTCTTATATTAAATGTTTTGTTAGACAA